GGAATACTTCCACAAAGAGATGTTTCCTCTCATCTACAGTTTGGTTACCCAGTGGGGTCGTTCATGAAGGCAAGCAAAATGCTTGATTCTTTGTCTTTATGTATTAGCTTTCAAGACAATGAATAAATGATTTTCATCCTTCAACAATGATCAATTAAAATTTTTTTCTGATGTCATTAGAAACCTATGGCTCTAAACATATTTGATGGATTTAAATATATTTCTATAATTATTACCTTTATTAAAATACAAACTGTCCCATCTTTGGGAAGTGGGAGTTTCTTCTTTGGATCCTGAAACCTTTGGGCATGGTGCTAGTAGTCTTTGATACCTTTCCCACTATCCGGGATGATGAAGTTCAACTTATACACCTGCCCCAGACCCAAAACCAGCCCTTCTTCCAAGAAGCCCTGATTTCTTATAATGCCTGCAATGCTCAGTGCTAATTTGCTACAATATTAGTCACTGTTTTTAGTCCTTTCAGTGGACAGACCTAAGGAGTTAATGGGGAAAAAAACCTACATACAGTCAGTTCTGCTATAATGCTTGTTCTGAAAATGTAAACTTGTTCAAACACGATTGTATATTAAGGAACAATTTGAGCCTAACACAAATTTTGTGTTCGGCTATGGGGTGATTTCATGCAGGAGAAATATTGGGTGAAGGCAGAAAACTGCACCCAGCTGATCCACGCTGCTTAAGAAGACACAAAACAGTGTAAAAAACAATCAGGACTAATCTTTCCAGCAGACAAAGAGAAAGCACATCTATGCACAAGGGCCTTAAACCCAAATTGCCAAATCCTGCAGAAGTAGCATCTTTTGCTGTGCTGAGTGGCTGCCTTGGCGGTTTCGAATATGTCCAATTTCCAGCGTTTTCAGCTGTCAGGTGAAGCTACAAGTACAGACTAGAAAGCAGCAAAAGAATTTCCAGCAGTGACACAGAAGCTAACCGAAGAAGCTGTGCATCGGGTAACATTCTCGATGGTGATGAAACAAGGATCTATTATAAATGCAATGCTCAAAGGGCCTCCATCTCAAAGGCAGAAAACCATGAGCCAGGATTTAAGGCTACAAAAGATCTCGGCACTGTGGTGTTCGACACCATTGCCCAACAGAGGATAATGAGCAGCCGCCCACACACAGCTGGTATTGCAACTTTCTACCCAATTTCAAGTAAGCTTTCATCACACCCTTCCGATGTCCCCTTCCACAAGCAACCTTCAGGTCTTGATCAAGGCATAGTGTCATATTTAGTGTATTTATGTATTTCTTACCCATTTAACATGTATAGAATTGTGCTACCATCTTTGCTAAATGTCTACCCTTTTTTAAAAAAGTCACTGGTGATGTTTTTGAGTGTTGTACCCTTATTCCCATTTTTGCCATAACCCTTGTGGCTTTTATTGAATGGTTTTGCACACGGTGGTATTCTTAGGACCACACATGTCATATTCTACATGCACACACCTCATGAGTTCATACTGATCCTTCCAATTCAATTTCAGGGCTGTAAGACTTTTACTTACTCAACCTCCTCTGTAGTACATCTTTATCTCTTTTCCTCCATGCCAACATCCTGGTTCTCAAGGATGTAGGAGATGGTGGAACATTCCATAAGTACTCATTTGCTTTATCCCATCTCACACACACAACAGTATCAGAATAACAATACAAAAATTGCCACAACCTGTGTAACTATTGAGAACTTTCCCAAAGAAAAGCTCTGAGTGGTAGCTTTGAAGGATTGGCAGTGTCAAGACTGCTGTGAGGCCCCTCAAGACCTCATCCCAGACTCCGTTTCACTCCCCACTATTGGATTGAGCAAACCCCCTCCTAGATTCAGCTGCTGTTCTCAAGTTGGTTTGCTGTACTTCTGTCAGCCTTGCCTCCCTCCTTCTGCATCCTCTGATACACCTGCTAATACCCTGCAAATCTTGAAGCTATTGGTGGCTTGCTCTGCCTACTTGTGTTTTAGGGTTTCTGGGAGATAAGTTGTCACTTGGACTTGTTGGAAATGTTGCCTGTGGCTTTTTAAGTTTGTGCTATCTGACTGCTTCATCTTTCTGTGGGAATTCTGGGAGATTTAAAAACCGATGCGCTGTCATATGAATCCCTTATTTGATAAGCATTTTTTCATAGTTTGTCCTTGAATATCAACAGTGATTGTTTTTACATATATACAGGTGTTTTAAATTTTTATTTAGTCAAATCTATTTGAACTTGCCCTATTATTTTCATGTTTAAAAAGTCCTTGCCTATATAGATGTCACAGGAATATCTTTTTACAATTTCTTATGATATTTTAAGTGTATATATATATATATATATATATACTTCTTCATCTATCTCACTCATTTGAAATTATTTTATTAAATACTATGGGAGGAATATCTAAGTTAATTCTTTTCCACCTCAAACATCAAATTTCCCCAAATCCATTTGTTGAATTTGTAATTCTTCCTTTATTATAAATCAATTATAAATCTCAAGGTCTATATCTGGGTTATATCTTCTTAATATGTGTATTTTTCTAGTTGTACCAAAATGCTTATTTATTTTATTTTTCAGCTTAATAGTATATTTTAAAGTCTATGGCATGTCCCTCTTCATTATTTTCATTTTATTAAAAAAGAAGATCTTAGTTGCTTTATTTTTTTAAAGACTTTTTAAAATGTTCATTTATTCTTTTTTTTTTTTTTTATTTCTAGGAGAGAGAGAGAGAGAGAGAGAGACAGCGTGAGCAGGGGAGGGTCAGAGAGAGAGGGAGACACAGACTCTGAAACAGGCTCCAGGCTCTGAGCTGGCTGTCAGCACAGAGCCCGACGCGGGGCTCGAACCCACGAACCACGAGATCATGACCCAAGCGAAAGTCGGACGCTTAACCGACTAAGCCACCCAGGCGCCCCAAAATGTTCATTTATTCTTGAGAGAGAGAGAGAGAGAGAGAGAGTGCAAGTGGAGGAAGAGCAGAGAGAGAGGGAGACACAGAATCTGAAGGAGGCTCCAGGCTCTGAGCTGTCAGCACAGAGCCTGATGCGGAGCTTGAACCCATGAACCACGAGATCATGACCTGAGCCGAAGTCAGACACCCAACCTACTGAGCCACCCAGGAGCCCCAAAGCTTAGTTGCTTTCATCCACATAATTTCTTAATGAACTCCAGCAAAGGGAAAGTCCAAAGTTAACTTTTTGGGGTAGTCCTTTGGTTCTCTGACAATTTCCTTATTGAAAATTTGACCATGTCTACTTGTTTGACCTTTTCCAAATATTGTATAACATCCTAAGAGGTACTGTCCATGGCCACATCTCAGAATGGATTGGCAAGGCTCATGATAGCTTACTCAAGGCTTGGAAAAGAAGTGCATGGGGAGGTTTAGGCCAGATATTAGACTTGCTTCGTAGAATTGTAGGAGAGCCATTGAACTGGGGTATGCCATCTGAAAGTCAGGATTCAACCAGGCAGACAAGTCTTCTTGTGCCGAGAGATTTAACCTTTCCAGTTATGATTCAGGAAAGTGCTCAACATCTGTAGGTCCAAGATGAAGAAGAAGTACCAAGCTTCAGTTTAGAATAAATGCTTCTTACAACCAGTAACACACATTTGTAAGAGCTGAGTGAAGTTAGGACTATGGTATGAAACTATAAAACAGAATGAAGCTAATGGAATTACAAGAACTTTAATCCATGATCATCATCTCTCAAGGTGGCCAAAACCAACTGACTTTCACAGCCACAAGCCACCAGTAACAGTATAACATATTTGCATTCTAGAGTTGATTTTTTCTTTTTTTTTTTTTTTTTTTTTTTACAAATAGTTTATTGTCAAATTAGTTTCTACATAACACTCAGTGCTCATCCCCAAAGTGCCCTCCTTCATGCCCATCCCCCCCTCCCCCCCACATCCATCAGTCCTCAGTTTTTGTCAGCATTCAAGAGTCTCTCATGGTTTGCCTCTCTCCCTTTCCCCCACCATTTCCGCCCTTCTTCTCCCCCTTGTTCCTCCGTCAAGTTCCTCCTAATCCTCCTATACGTGCAAACATATGATATTTGTCCTTCTCTGCCTGACTTATTTCGCTCAGCATAACACCCTCAAGGTCCATCCATGTTGCTACACATGGCCAGATTTCATTGTTTCTCATTGCCATGTAGTATTCCATGGTATAGATAAACCACATCTTCTTGATCCATTCATCTGTTGATGGACACTTAGGCTCTTTCCATGTTTTAGCTATTGTGGAGAGTGCTGCTATGAACATTGGGGTCCATGTGCTCCTATGCCTCAGCATTTCTGTATCCCTTGGGTAAATTCCTAGCAGTGCTATTGCTGGGTCATAAGGGAGTTCTATTGTTAGTTTCCTGAGGAAGCTCCACACTGTTTTCCAGAGGGGCTGTACCAGTTTACATTCCCACCAACAGTGCAGGAGGGTGCCCGTTTCTCCACATCCTCGCCAGCATCTCGAGTTCTCTGATTTGCTCATTTTAGCCATAGAGTTGATTTTTTCTAAATGGGAATTTCAGCTCTGACCTTGTGAGGTGACGCCTGACAGTTTATGAATGCCTTCTCTTGTCTGCCTGAGACAAAACCAAAAACAAAATTAATATGTCTGATAAATGGAATGTAAAGACTCCCATCTTGTAAATAAACTTGGAAAAATATTCTGGAATATTTTCTATAAAATACCAGCCTGGAGCCTCAGTTGAGATTCAATAGATTTTATTTTATGTGCAGCCTGTTGTTTAAGTGGATAGGAGTCAAATAGTAAAACTCAGCCTTCAGGAAGATGCAGAGAAACTAAACTGAACAGGCTGCTCATGTCTGTCGGCAGTGAATCCTCTAGTGACACTGGCCCATGAATCTTTCTCTGTTTTTTCCCTTTCCAGCAGCAAGAACCTTCAATGTACCTGCAAGAGAGCATATTCACTGATTCTCTTAACTTATTCAAACTTACACCTTCGAGAACTTATGAGGCTGACCACTTCCATCTCCCTCATTTTGCAGCCTAGAGAGAAGACCTGTGGGCCTGAGGAGGTGGAGGGACTTGCCTGTGAAACTGGTCTGCAGAAAAGCCAGTCATTGCTGCAAAATGGCAGCTGCATTCACAGAATCCACTCTTCTCACTTTACAGATGGGCCAAATGAAGCCAACAACAGGAGACTTTTGAACAAACTACCAAGAGATGTTCTGGGAATTCTACTGGTAATAAAAGCATCACATTGGTTCTTCAGAAGAACCAGAGCTTATGAATGGTCATTTTTATATAAACTGCCCACAGGGCTCTCTCAGAAGGTGCAGCCCTATAAACACCCACAACTAGAAGAAATAAACAGTGCATTTTAATCATCTAAAGGAGCCTATTGGTTTTAAGGAATGGTTTTAAGCTAGGAGGGCTGTCATTACACTGTAAGTAAAGTCAATACATTGCTGAGTCCATGAATTAATTAGTGTTTAAATAATAGAAATGACTATCAGTTACAAAACATTACCATGAATTACTTGCTGTGCAAACAGTTTCTTTTGCTATTATTAATAATTCTAGCTACTGATTTTCTGTAATTGTAAGCCACAGTGTTCCTTTGGGTGAACAGCAGAGCAGATTTAGACTGCTGAGTCAAGTTCCCACTCACACCAATAAAAGTCACCGGGTGCCCCTGTCCCCCTTCTGCTGGCCCTTTAAGGCTAGTTTGCTTCTAGCCTCCATTCTCTGCTGTCCGAGAAATCTAAGAGAGTCAGTCAGTTGGTATTTGCTCCTTATGGTCAGAACCAGCTTTGATATTAAAATCAAACATCCAAGAAAATGCCTGAGGCAACATTTTCTGTTTCTGAGCCGTGACTTGCTCCATGATATCATTCCACCTTGTGTGAGCAGTTCAGCAATGGTGGAGGGCAGATCTGGCTGGGTAATAGATGATAGGGGGACTGGTGATTTATTAGGAGGCCTGAGCCTCTGGTTTAGAGGATCAGAGTTCAGGTCCCTACTCTTCAATAATCTCAGTATGGGATTGGGGATGAGTTATTTAACCAATGTGAGGTTTCATTCTCTCCATTGGGAGAAGTAGACCATGCTCCTTGACATTCATTTCACAAGGAAACGAATGAAGATTACAGCTTGGCTTGTATTTAAACCCTGAATAAGGTATACAATAGATGAAAAACTTTGCTCTCCTTTTTCCATTTAAAGTAGTTGTACATTAACTCTCGAGCTGATTCTAATGGGGTCAACCACCTATCCTGTGTGAATAGGGCCCAACAGACAAAGGTGGTGCAGGCCCTGGGTTCCTTGCTCTCCAGGTCCCCTCTGAAACCCATATACAGCATCCGGTCCTGCCTGGTAAGAGCTAGTACTTACTGGTTGACAAGCACCATCCTCAACCTTTACATGGATTTTTCTCAGTCCCTTCAGCAACCCTATAAGGCAAGTCATCTTTACATACTGTTTACATTAAAGAAATAGAGCCACAAAAAGGTTATGGCCACAGAACCAGCAAATGAGAGATATCAACACAGGAGAACTCTTCACCACCCTGCTGACCTACCAAATATACAACTGTCATTCTTGGAGTGGACTTTGGCCCTGCACCCCTGCCTTCTTCCCTATTCAGCAACCAGAGTCTAACAACTTAGAGGGCAATTATCTCACATCAAAGGGGCCTTCCAAGCAGAAGGCCTCTTCTTCCTCCAGGAAGCTCTCCCTGGAGCTCTCATGGCCCCCTGGGCCCACCCTGTCCTGGCTCTCAGCTCAGTGACCTCACGTGTCTGGCAGCTTCTGGAGGACAGGGACAATTCAATGTTGAGTCGTCAGGCTCTCACCCAAAGTCTGCCACTAGTAGGTAAATGTTTGTACAGCAAATAAACCTTTTTCTCTCACACTATCCCCCCCAACATAGGCACATGAGGATTCACAAACTTCAGCTGCCCAAAGTCCCAGAATGCCTCTAACCAATAATCCTTTCCACACCTGCCCTCAAAGATGGCTGCAGGGGGTGGAGAGGGGAGAGAATGGCTACTCTAATTCTTCTGGGTTGGCCTCCACCAGTTTCCCCTCTGCATCTGCTTCCCCCGGATGCTTGATATCTTTTTCAAGCATCTACTTCTTCCAGGGGACTGGATGGAGTAGAAAACAAATGGAGTCCCAGAGAGCAACAGGATGCCTCTTTCTACTCAGTCACACCTTTACCTCTGCCTGTGTGCCACTGTCACCCTACCAACCACACGACCCTATCTTAAAAGTGACTGCAATAAAGCAGGAAATTAAAAGCAGAAAGGCCATATTCTTTGGCTGATCTGTCTATGTAATAAATGCTACAAGGTGGAACAGAAATAAATTTATGAACTATCTGAGCAGCAATTCCTTGATTTCAAAGTAATACAATCGTGGGGAAATGTCAGTTCCAATTGAAGAGGAAAACAAACTTCTGGTGTTCCTCAACCTGAGCAATTGCTGAGGTCATAAATGTGGTCATTGTTTGAGAGCCCCAGGAGATCCTGTGCTGGGCACTGTGGCCATATGTGGTTGCATGTGAGCCGTGCAAGGCTTTCACGCCTCAACACACTCACATTCTCCCCCCTCTCCAGCATATCCTCCTGCCCTGCCTCTGAGGGTTATTGATATTTCAGCCCCTACCTGGTCTATAGAACTCAGAATCCAGAACACAAGGGGAAAGAGACCACTATGTGTTGAAAGCAGGCGTCACGATGGGTCCCGACAGCAGAAGCCAGGCTGGATCGATTAGAGACTTCCAACGGATTGAGAAAATTCACCCCAGTCAATGGGAAATGAGTCGGAGGGACTGTGGACAGCCCTGGCATCTATCAGACACTGCTTCTCCTGGACTTGTCAGGCTTGCCAAGGCCTCTTGGTAGAGTGGCATGGATGACATGGTAACCTGCTGCAGGGAAACCAAAGTTCTTCTCCAAGGCACCACTCACCCAGAGGAACCAGGAAAGGATGATGTCCCAAAGTGCCCTGAATCTTGCTTTTGCTCACTTTTTGAACATCTCCATGAATCTCAGCATCTGATCTTGGGGTTAGGGCATTGTTGACTTTCTTGGGCAAAAATCTCTTTCCTTTCTTTGGAAATTAGGTAGATTTTTTTGTGTTTCCTTATAAATTCTTTACTTCTTTCTTCACCAGTTTTCTGCACAATTGACCACACCCTCCTTTTTTAGAGCCCTCTTATTCTTTGCTCCCAGACACTACGCTCCCTGGGTATTTCTTCTTCTCTTTGGCTACTTTTCCTTGGTCTTCTTTGAAGACTCTTGTTCTTCTGTCCTTGAATGCAGCTTCCTTAGAATTCTATCCTCCACATTTTTGCTCTATACTTTTTCCCTAAGGGGCTTTGTCCAGACCCATAGCTTTGGATGACCACCTGTATGTTCATTTACGGCCCCACTGAGGTCTTTCCCAAGCTCTAGGTCCATGTCTACTGGACCTCTCCTCTTGGACATCTCACAAGTGCCTCAAATTCAACATAACTAAACACATCATCCTCCCTCTGTGTTCTCATCTCAGTGAATAATTATCCAAGGAAGAACCTCAGGGGACTTCCGTAAGTAACTCCTCTCTATACCTACTATATCATAGCAGTTCTGTTTTCTCATATCTTTTGTATCTGTTTTTCTCTGTCCCCATCCTCATTACCTTGGTTCAGGTGACTATAAGTTTCTCCTTCAGCTACAGCAGTCTCTTAATACACCACTCTGTGTTGAGTGTAGCCTTCTCTTAGTTAGCACTTGCCACAATGATGCTGCAGACTGAAGAATCTCAACATCCCCTAAAGACAAAAACAAAAACATTAATTTCTCTCTTATGTGTTTGTGGGACAACTGAGTTGGCTATGCTTTAGGCTCTAATAGCTGGAGTGGTTCTGCTCCATTTGTCTCCTCTCTTCCTCCGGGACCCAGTGAACTGGCCAGGGAACATTCTTCTCATGGCAAAGACAGAGGTACAAAAGAGCAAGAGGAAATACCCATGGTCTCTTAAGGCCTAGGCTTAGAAATGGCACATGATTGCTTCTACCCACATGGTATTGGCCAAAACAAGTCACATGTTCTGGCCTAAAGTCAAAAGGTGGAGAAATACATTTGGCTCACTATGAGGTCACGGTGTGGATGCACGGAGCAGTAAGCAATAGGGCTAACAATGCAATCAATCAGTGGACCTCTCTAATCCATTTTCCACCCAACAGCTAGATTTCTAACACACAAATCTGATTATGTAACTCACGACTGTCCTTGAGAAAGAGTCTGAATTCATAATGTGACTCCAGTCTATCTCACTTCTCACACCACCAATCACTCTGGTCCTGCCATATTGAACTACATTTATTTTCAAAATTTGCCTGAACTCTTACCTCTAGGTCTTTTCACAGCTAGTTTCTTCATCTGGAATACTTCCTCATCCTCTTCTCACCCCATAACTTAGTCCGCATCTCATGCATCATTTGGCTAACCCCCTTTGTCCTTCAGTTATATTTTAAGTGTCACATCCTCCAAACATTCTCTGTGACCCCAAGATAAGGCTATCCTTAGGCACATTCCTTGCTCCATGTACTTGCACTTATAATAATACTTAACCATCCCTATTGTAATTACCCAAGGATAGGAACTGTGTCTTAGACCCAGTGCTTAGCACCTGTGCCAGGGATATGTAGGTATTTAATAAATAACTTACAATGGATGATTCCCACATAGGAATCTGTCCTTGAATACAAATTTTAATGTCTTTGCTTATTTTTGACACAAATTAGATAAAATTAGAGTAACTGTGTATTTTAGAACCATGATTGTTCTGGTCCAATTGATGAGAAGATTAGCTTGATAAGCATCTCAGATCTAAACAAAAAACTTGCTTTGTTCTGAATGGAGAGCCACCTATTTATGTGTTAGCACACTGAAAAATAAATAGCAGCTAATGTTTTTGAGACACACACCGTTGGTTGCCAACCCAATAGCTATTCTCCTTCTTCTGTTTCAATAGAGCACCAGTTCTGCTTGGAGTGACAATGTGCTCACCCCCAGAGGGACAATTCCTGATTAGTCTAGTCCAATTATGGAATCCCACTCCTCTTTGCCAAGGAATAGCCTGTGAGTGGGCATGTGACCTAACTAGCCAATCATATCTGAGGTGAAGTCTACTTGCTACTTGTGGGAAAGTTTTCATGTCTGATGAAAGATAGCAGGAAGAGAAGATAGGGTCCTCTTCCCCATGCTCACCCCTTGTGCTTGGGATGATGTTCTGTAAGGACATGATTCTTGGAACTGTGGTCGCCATCTTACTACCATGAGAGGAGACATGACTGATCTCCTGAGAAAGTCAGAGCAGAAAGATAAGAGAGTCTGGGTCTTTGCTGACCCTCAACTGCTGTCTGCATGTTGGAATTACCTACCTCTGAGTTTCTTGTTACATGAAATAATAAAATGTCTTTATTACTTAAGCCATTTGCATGTGGTTATTCTGTTATTTGCAGCTGAAATAATCCCTGATACGAATAGCTTTAAAATTTACCTCGGAATACCGCAAATTTGTTATTAGCAAATATCAGAGACTTCCCACCATTCGAGTCTATTATTTAACATAATTTTCTTCAGGCCTAAAATGTTTCCACAGCTGGCTTTTATTGATTGCAGTGGATGATGTGCTGGAGAATGGGTCTCACTGGCATAAGGATTCTGCCACTTCTTTGTTTAGTAATCAGTGTTCCAATCCTCACTTCTTTCTTATTATATTCCTTGAACCCTCAGAGGAACTGGCAGGTATGGAACTTGAACCTCTTCACCTGCTTTTTGAGACTTGTCCTGGGAATAATTTACCAGCATGGTAGAGAGAATAATGCCTCCCAGTCCCCCCAAATAGTTCATGTGTTCTAATCCTCAGAGCCTTTACAAGGCAAAAGTGACTTTATAGATGTGATTAAGGTAAGGTCCTGAGATGGGGAAATTATCCTGGATTATCTGAGTGGACCTCCATATAATCACAAGAATCCTTTAAAGGTGAAGGAGGAAATACAGGAAGAGCAGGAGAGGGATATGTGACTATGGAAGAATGAGCAAAGACATGTAACTTATTGTTTTTGAAGATGAAGGAAGGGGGTGAAGCCCAGGAATGCAGGCAGCCTGTAGAATGGGCAAGAGGCAAGGAATGGGATTCTCCCTTGCTTCCAGGAGAGAACACAGTTCTTCCAACACAGTGATTTTAGCCCAGTGAGACTTTTTTCAGATGTCTACCTGCAGAAATGTAAGGTAATAAATCTGTGTTTAATTTGCGATAATTTGTTATAGTAGCCATAGGAAACTAATACAAAGAATTGGCCTTATTGACTGAAAAACTGAACACCTCTGCTTCAGGCAAATGGCTGGGTGCTGCCTGACTGAGGGAGAAAATGATAAAATATAAACTCAAGCCCAAGCCAGAGGGCGGCTGTGCTCAGTAGTGGAGTATATGTAGTTTGGGAAGTATCAAGGAATAGATAGTTCTCAAGGGAAAAGAAACCCACCCCCCACATGAGATAAAAGATGCGCAAACCCACGTAGGCTTGGATTTCTAAAGTGTCCTTTAATACCTCAGAGACGAGGACCTTGGGTGAGTGCCCAAAGTGCATCACTTACATCCTATGAGCAGTCCCTCGTGTGGTCAGCAAGACCCTCGGCCAAGGTTACAAGGTGGAGAGTATGCTCAGGCTCCAACCCACTGGAAAGATGGCAGCCTTATCTTTTATCAACAGCAACAAATAATGGTCATTCACTCAGTAACTATGAATTAAGTGCCAATTCACTGCATAGTATGAGATGCTAGGGATATAGTTTTGTACAAAACAGATTATGTTCTCCATATTCTCCCCCATCTTAGTAGGCTTGGGCTATTTTTTTAAAAAAATTTTTAATGCTTATTTATTTATTTTGGAGAGAGACAGACAGATGGGGGGGTGGCAGGGGGAAGGGAGAGAGCCAGCCAGGGAAGGGCAGAGAGACAGAGACAGAGACAGAGAATCCCAAGTGGACTGCGCTGTCAGCACTGAGCCTAACATGGGGCTTGAACTCACAACCGTGAAATCATGACCTGAGCCACAATCCATAATTGATGCTTAACCAACTGAGCCACCTAGGAGCCCCAGGCTTGAGCTGCTTTTACAAAAATACCACAGGCTGGATGGCTTAAAGAATAAACATTTACTTCCCACAGTTCTGGAGGCTAGAAGTCCAAGATCAGGGTACCAGTATAGTCAGGTTATGGTGGGGGACTTCTTCTTGACTTGCAGACAGCTACCTTTTTGCTGTGTCCTCACATGGCAGAGTGACACCACTGCTCTCTTAATCTCTTTATATAGATACCAATTTCATCACGGAGGCCCCATCCCTAAGACCTCATCCAAAACTAACTGCCTCCCCCAAATTCCAACTCCAAATGCCATCATATTGGGGATTAGGGCTTCAACATAAGAATTTGGGGTAAGGAGACACACACATTCAGTCCACAGCATCCCTCTAAATTCCTTTGGGGAAGATGGATTTTAAAGCAAAAGACAATGAATAAAGCTATAACATTTATGATAAATATGATGAGGGAGGAGACTAGGATACTCAAATAAAGAGGGAACTAAATTTAGACTGGAGGGCCAAGGGAGGTATTTTTTAGGAAACCATGTGTAAATTGGGACCTGAAAGAAGTAGGAATTTACCAGGGACAAGCTGAAGGAAGAGAGATCCAGGCTCAAGGAACATCATGTGCAAAGGCCCTGAGACAAGAGAGGAAAGGGGAGTTGCTATAGCAGGTGTATAGTATAGAAAGGAAAAAAGAGGGCACAGGAGGAGCTGGTGCCTCTTTAAAACCTTTGGTGGTTTCAGGCTAAGGTTCTGTGTTCCTTTCATCAAGCTCTCTGCAGCATTAACTATGAGTGTCCACTTACTGAAGAAAAACCAGAATAGCTCTCAAGCCACAGTCCCAAGCAGCCTGCAGCTGTCTCCTCTCTCTGGAGGGTGCAGAGTGAAGCAGAGGGGAGGGGAGTCAGCACCTTCCTGTCATTTCTGTCCATCTTTCTTTCTGGCCCAACTTCTTTAATGTGACCTCCGGAGATTTTCTAAATTAGAATCATTACCTATATGGGGAGCCTGCAATACAAATCAAATGAGAGGCCGCAGCAAGCTAATGAATGCCAGTGACCCAGGGATCTAATGAAGATGAACAGCTCTGTTACAGGGAGAGGATGCCACCATATCACATGCTGCTTGGAGCAGAAAAAGAGGTAAATTCAGGACTTTTATTGTGCTCTACAAGGCAGGTAAAATTGAAATATATACCGCTATTTTCATTTATTTGTTACTTATCTCTATTTACATATATATCTATATATCTAGGTTCATCTATATATCATCTATCTATATCCATGTGTGGTGTGTGACTAGGGAAGAAAATAATACATCTTGGATAAGCAAAGGACTCTTCTTATTTGGCCCAGTTAACCCTGTTTTCCTCATTCTCATTCAGGTTTCAGATGATGAGGTCATCAAAGGTCAGAAGATAAACCTCCAAGGAAATACAGAAGAATATACTTTAGAATGGCTGAGCAAAGTGTGGACATTGAAACTAAGGTAAAGAATTTAAATAGACAGAATATGCAAAAAAACAAACAAAAAAGCCAAAATACAAAAACAAAAACAAAAAAACCAAACCAAATCATTTTGTTCTTTTATGTGCAATGAAATATAAATGCCTCATATATATTCACTTAAAAACTTTTATAGTTGCATAAATATGTAAAGCTAATTTATCCATTCAAAAATCATGTATTGAATGCCTTTGGATTTTCTCAATGTTGCATGTTTAAAAATCATAGGTTGTCTCTGAATATCACTTAACTCTAAGTTTTGTGACAATTTGGGAAACTTGCTTTCAATCCAACTAGTAGACCATCATACTCAGAATCTATTGTAATGGGTTTTTAGTTTAGGAACTCAGATCCAAAGCTAGTAGGCTCTGTTTTTGTGTTTCCCCACTAATGTGGAAAGGTTACAGATTCTTGGTTTTCTGGTTTTTCATTCACTCAAGGAATGCTAGCAGGTGTGTCTGGGAGGTGGCTGGCTAGAACAATGAGGATGTCAACCAAGGCTGCAGCTCTCAGCAAGCCAACAACAGACTAGGAGTTGAACGATCAATTCTCCCCATCGAACAATCAAGAAAAGCTTGGAGACCCAGAACTGGAAAACATTTACTTGAAAACCACTGATGCAGGGTTAGTCAATTAAGCTTGCATTTTCTTAGCTCACCCAGTTTTGGTAGTCACATTTGTTGGTTAATTTTCATGAAAATTCAGCTTTGACTTTTATTCTCAATAAGTTAATAGATTTTATTTTTATATCCTTTTATCCTGGCACATAATTCTTTATGTTCAGAGATCAATATTAGGGGGAAATTTCTTTGCCAAGTAATGATCCACGTAGTCATAATAAAAGGGAACGTTTTCAAAGGTTTTCAGAGCCAAAAAGAATTATTGCAGATACAAGTGTGTCTATAATTGTGTTGTCCAAATGTCCCAACAAATTTATTAGCCATTTTCAGCTCTTTCATGATGGAGAGTAAACCTCTTGGTGATTGAAGCCGGAAAATAATCTGTTGACTGTTAGAGCTAGAAGTATCTTAGATACTGTATAATCCAATTTACTCATTTAGGAATGAGAAGACACACTGTGGCAAGGCTTCTTGATAGCTTCCACCTATTCAAAATCTTCTAGGTTAGAGTCATTGATTTCATACGTTACACACAAGATTCATGCTTAACCACTTGCTAGACCCTTCCCACCAGGCTAAAATTGCTTCTAGAGAAAGACTGAGGCTGAAAGAAGTTAATTTGCTTCAGATGATATGGTCATGATAGAAGTTAGACTAAAACTCAAGCCCAGGACTAATTCTCATGTAACCAAAAAGCATCTGGAACATGTAAGTTTCTTCCCCTGCTGCACTGCTATGAGGATTAAGCAGGATGAACTGTGTGAAATCATTATATTTACCTAGAATTCATTTTTCAGCAGGTAAGCCATCTAATCAAAAAAGTGAGTTGCTCAAATCACCGAAGGGCAGATTTGCAGGGCTTCGGGGAAGAACTGGAATCCTCCAGCACTCTCTCCTACTCCCTTCACATCTGTTTGATTCATTTTTTTTTTTTTTTTTTTTTTTTACCTGTAGACAAATCCCTTCTGCTTTCCTGATCTACATAAATCATGGTCACCCAAGTGACATGTGGGAGAGACTGAATCTCTCCGTCTCAGTTTCCACTGGACATTCTCAAGGAAGGGGCTTTACGTGGTCATGGTTAAGTGTAGACCAAGTACTGGGTGTGTTGGCAGTGGGGTGTGGGAGTGGGGACAGTAGTGGGGTTACCATATGTTCGGGAAATGTCAAGGAGTAGAGAGTTCTCTCTCCTTAAGGGAGAAGAAACCCACAAGAAGTGGAAGACAAAACACATGCCCATCTGGAATGTTAACACTCTGGAAACAAGGACATTGTACTTTGCTGACTGTGCCCCCTACTTTTTCCCCTTGTTAATGCCAGTGCAAGTGTCCCGGGTGCATCACTTACACCCTTCTGTGAGCAGTCCTGCATGTGATGAGTAAGAACCTGTCTTAGTCAACTGCTATAACAAAATACCATAAACTATCTGGCTTATAAACAACAGAAATTTATTTCCTACAGCTGTGGAGGCTGGAAGTCCAAGACCAGAGCACCAGCTCAGTTAGGCTATGGTGAGGACCCTTTTCCCGGTTCAGACTGCTGAATTCTCACTGTGTCCTCCCAAAGTGGAAAGGGATGGGGAGCTCTCCGAAGCCTCCTGAATAAGGGCACTAGTCCCATTCATGAGGCTCCACTCTCATGACCTAGTCACCTCCCAAAGGCCCACCTACTAATACCATCACATTGGTGGTTAGGATTTTGACATAAGAATTTTGTAGGAACATAAACAGTCAGTCCATAACAGAACCTCAATCCAGACTGCAGGGCGGAGAGAGTGTTTAGACTCCAGCCCACTGATAAGATGTTTTTTTTGCAATAGTGGAAAATGATGGGTCATTCACTCAACAAATGTTAACTAAGTGCCAGCTCACTGCATGGTGTGAGACATTGAGTATGCAGTGCTATACAAAAGAGATATAGTTCTTATATTCTCTCCCTAAATTCTTTTGGAGAAGATAGACTTAAACCAAAAGACAAAAATTAAATATGTAATAACACTTATGGGGCGCCTGGGTGGCTCAGTCAGTTAAGCATCTGACTTTGGCTCAGATCATGATCACATGGTTCGTGGGTTCGAGCCCCACATCGGGCTCTGTGCTGATGGCTAGCTCAGAGTCTGGAGCCTGCTTCAGATCTGTATCTCATTCTCTCTGATCTTCCCCTCCTCACACTGTTTCTCTCTCTCTCTCAGAAATAAATAAAAACATTTTTTAAAAATAACACTTATGATAAATGTGATAGAGGAGATTAAGATACTAAGAGAGAATAATAAAAGGGAATGGTTTATATTAGAGGGGCAAGGAAGGTAATTCTTAGGAAATGATATGTAAGTTGAGACCTGAAAGATAAATAGGAATTAATCAGAGAAAGAGACGTCTAGGCCCAGGCACAGCATTGTACAAAGGTCCTGAGGCAGGAAATGGGGGCTTTGGGCCTTCTTTAGCACATATCGTATAGGATGTGATTCTTGGAGGTGGGGAGAAACGGTACTCAGAAAATATGGACTGGCCATTATCCTAGGAGGTGTTCCCTATTACTATAAAGCAGTGGAGACCTAAGATTGTCCATAAATCACTCTGTGAGTGATGATTTAATCCTAAAAAGCTAGGAACAAGAACCAAACAGAACCAATGCCAGTGAAATTATTTTCTTCATTGAGAAAATTGTTCTATACTTTAAAAGAAAATCAGAGAGAGAGAGAAGGAAGACAGGAAAGAAGCAAGGCAAAAGAAGAAAAAAGAATTGTTTCTATTCTAATCTAATTTTCTCCATTTGCTAATAAGAACGTAGAGGCTCAGAGAGGTATTATGTCCTGCCCAATATAATATGGGTAGTGACCCAACTCCCCGTCTCATGAGTAGAGTGCTTCCCCTACTCAGGAGGGCCTACTTCATCAATGTGCTACAGTTCTTTGCTCTAACCTCCATTTTAGGTGCTTTTAAAAATGATATATTCTCCTTGCTTGGGAAGTACAGGAGTTAATAGCATACAAACCTGCCCTTTAGATAGTCAGAGAGTTGCCTGGATCCATGAGACACAGGCCTCTTTCACTCTTTTACAATGACAAAAAGGAAGAGGAAGTCCATTCAAGGACCATGTGCCTGGGGTCAGGGCTGCTAGTGTGTGGGCTAGGCCAGTGTGAGCCATGACAATATTTGATGTGCTGCATCCCTAACTCCTCACACGTGTCTGCAAACATTAATCAGCCTTCCCAAACAGAGTTGACGGGGTCTGAATAAATAATTTCAAGTACACTGCACACCAGCCATCTGAATGCAGTCGAGTCAAGGACTATTGGAGTCTGCGTTCAGCATATGCCACTCAACTCCTCTTATCTGCCACTGTCAGCAGCATGTCAGCAGCTGGAGGTGCTTAATCCACATTCTTCAGTCTCTCCCATTTCCTCTCAGTGCTGGGAAGGGTCCAACAACCTTCAAAACAGGTCTGGCCAAATTGCATGAGGCTAGGCTACTTGGCAGAGTATCTGTTTTCTGAAGAACAAGTTGCAAGATGGAATCTGAGGCTGGGCTCCTTCCCTGCTGGTCAGAAGGCTAGGAACTCCTGCTAGGGGCATCCTCACCCCAGGTGAGTCACAGAACCCACTGCCATTATCTCTGTTCTGTGTCTCTGCTCAGGCTGCCCTCCACACTCCACCGGGGAGACTATGACTCTGAATTTTGGTCCTGGCCCCTAAATGGTCACTGCCCTTTTGAACTCGCGGATGTTCGTGTGACCTTTTTAGTTTATGGTCCTTTCTGTCAGGTAATTTTCTTTTTCAGGTGTTTTAGAAGGAAGCCCCCAGTGCTGGGTCAGAAGGCATCTGGGGCTGAGCAGCCATCCTAGCCCCCACTAAGTCTCCGGCCCCAAACGGGCCCAGCATCTGCTCTCATGTCTTCTTAGGGTTGCTCCTCTACTGCCCTCCCACACATACAACCCCGCCCCTGGAACTTCTGAGACTGGAGCAGCCCACATGTACACTTATAAAAGGGAAGCAGAGGGAGATTTGAGGGAGAATTCAGTGATCATGGAGGCACCGGAAGCTGAAAGAGGCAAGAAACAGATTCTCCCCCAGAGCCTCTGTGGAGCACAGCCATGCTGACACCCTGACTTCATCCCAGAGACATTGATTTTGGACTTTGGACTTCTAGAACTGTGAGAAAAGTATATCTCTATTGTTTAAAGCCAACAAATTTGTGGTAATTTGTTACAGTGGACACAGGAAATGAATACATTCACCATTTCTCAGAGTAAAAATGTATAAATTTCGAGGCAACTCGGTGGTTCAATCAGTTAAGCCTCCAACTTTTGGTTCAGGTCATGATCTCATAGTTCGTGAGTTCAAGCCCCACACAGGGCTCTGTGCTGATGGCTCAGAAGTCTCTGAGCCTGCTTCAGATTCTGTGTGTGTGTGTCTCTCTCTGTCTCTGCCCCTCCCCTGCTTGCACTCTTTCTCTCTCAAAAATAAATAAAACATTAAAAAAAAATTTTAAGCCTGTAAAATTCTACAGAATCTAGCCCCTGTTAACCCCCTGACTACTCTCCTACATCTCTCCCCAGCCTCCCCAGCTCCTGACACACCTATTCTTTTCCTTAAACAGACCATGACCCATCTGCCCAAGGTCTTTGCTCTAGCTGCTCCCTCAAGCTGATGCTCTGGGACCTTCTTCGTGTCCTTCAAATTTGCTCAAGTGCGGTCTCTCCAGACCACACTGTTTAATACCACACTGCCCTTCCCCACCTGCTCCTAATCCTCTTTGTCCTGATCTGTTGTTGTTTTTTTTTTTTTTCTTTTTCTAAACACTCATCTCTTTTGAAACTGGTGTGTAATTTACTTATTTATTATTTATTTATCTTTTATTCTTGTCCCCTGCTAGAATACAAGATTCTCAAGGACAGAGCTGACTACCTAGTTTATTTTCCACTGTATCCCAAGCTCCTAGAATAGGGCCTGACACATGCAGGCATCCAATTAATATGTGTGGAAAGCATGAATAGATGTCCTCAGAGGTCCTGTGGCAGTGATATTAGAGATGCCCTCTTTTTCCCCCATCTCCTACCTCCTTCCATCTTGGCCCTCACTATACTGACTAAGCCAATTAACACAGAAAGACACAGAATACTTAGTTCAAG